TATAATGCAAAAAGCAATACTAGAAACTCAAACCAAACAACGAATAAAAATGCTAACAAACCATTGCATTTGATAAAATGGTACAAAGACCTCTGCCATTGATCGATGACATGAAGAAGTACCAATGGCACACGCCATGAAACACACCAACAAACAGAGCCATGTGAAGGCTTTGCAATGCCATGCAGTGACAGTGAATATGAAGAGGCAACATCTTGAAGGCTGTATGAAACTCTGTGGGCTGGGATGGGATGGCCATGCACTAGATGAGACTAGTCTGAGTTAGTGTAAGCTTGGGAGAATTGGTTATAGAGGAGGCCAACAGCACACACACACACACAACACGGCCAAGCATGGTGGAAAATAATGTATTGCCCATAGGGCTGACCCCATTTAGTCGACTGGTCGATTGTTCGGTCGATAGGCTGGTTGTTGGTTGACAGAGATTTTGTTGTTGTTGAGCGGTCGCAAATTGATTTTTTTCTTTTTTAGGGCACACGAGAAACCTGTGATTTACGCTCGTTTCAGTGAGTGGACTAATCCATTGCGCAGGCCGTGGGGATGGCACAGTACATCACTAAGACATACTGTATGTGCTACTGAAATGGTGCAACACTAATAAAAATAAGATGTATTTTCCAAATTGTTTGGCTTATTACTATTAACATATGCCATACATTCCCTTTCATTTAACTGTGTACCTGCCTGATTTTTTTCCCCCAGACGGCACACACAAATGACCCTAATTGTAGCCTACGGTACGTTTCGACCAGAAGCGGTGCCTCCGCTTGACAACTCTTCGCTCCAAAAGACTGGCTGCTTTTTGGGCATGGGCGTGAACCTATTCAAGTAAGTAAGTAAATACATTTTGAAAATGTAAAAAACCCTGATGTATTATTAGCTAGCTAGCTATCTAGCTAGCTACAGCAGGCCACTGTGTTATTAGCTAGCTAGCCAACTTTACATACTATAGCTAAGTGAAACATCATCAGCTAGTTAGCTTCATATTACACTGAACAAAAATATTAAAACACAACAGCTCAAGAAGCTGATTATACAGCATGATCATGACACAGGTGCACCTTGCGCTGGGGACAATAAAAAAAGGCCACTTTTGTTTTGTCACAATACAATGCCACAGATATCTCAAGTTGAGGGAGCGTGTAATCGGCATGCTGACTGCAGGATTGTCCACCAGAGCTGTTGCCAGAGAATTTAAAATGTTAATTTCTTTACCATAAGCCACCTTCTAAATTGTTTTAGAGAATTTGGCAGTGCATCCAATAGGCCTCACAAAACGCAGACCACGTGTAACCACACTAGTCCAGGACCTCCACATTTGGCTTCTTCACCTGCGGGATCGTCTGAGACCAGCGACCGGCAACCTGGACAGCTGATGAAACTGTGGGCTTGCAAACCTGAAGAATTTCTGCACAAACTGTCAGAAACGGTCTCAGGGAAGCTCATCTGCATGCTTGTCGTTGTCACCAGGGTCTTGACCTGACTGCAGTTCGGCGTCGTAACCGACATCAGTGGGCAAATGCTCACCTTTGATGGCCACTGGCATGCTGGAGAAGTGTGCTCTTCACTGATTAATTCCGGTTTAAACTATACCGGGCAGATGGCGTCGTGTGGAATTTGCTGATGTCAATGTTGTGAACAGATTGCCCCATGGTGGAGGTGGGGTTATGGTATTTGTAGGCATAAGCTACAAACAACGAACACAATTACATTTTTTCGATGGCAATTTGAATGCAGAGATACTGTGACGAGATCCTGAGGCCCATTGTCGTGCCATTCATCCACCGCCATCACCTCATGTTTCAGCGTGATAATGCACAGTACCATGTCACAAGGATCTGTACACAATTCCTGGAAGCTGAAAATGTCCCAGTTCTTCCATGGCCTGCATACTCAGACATGTCACCCATTGAGCATGTTTGGGATGCTCTGGATCAACAGCGTGTTCCAGTTCCCGCCAATATCCAGCAACTTCACACAGCCATTGAAGAGGAGTGGGACTACATTCCACAGGTCACAATTAACAGCCTGATCAACTCTACACGAAGGAGATGTCACACTGCATGAGGCAAATGGTGGTCACACCAGATACTGATTGGTTTTCTGATCAATGCCCATACCTTTTTTATAACAGATGCACAGCTCTATTCCCAGTCATATGAAATCCATAGATAAAGGCCTAATGAATTTATTTCAAATGACTGATTTCCTTATATGAACTGTACCTCAGTAAAATCTTTGAAATTGTTGCATGTTGAGTTTATATTTTTGTTCAGTGTAGCTTGTTATCTTGATGTAGGCCTATTGACCATTGTAAATGAAAAACTCATGTTCCAAATGCATTTGTAGATAACAGCAATGGAAGAGGGTGAATGGATTTTTTTCTCCAGCTGTCAGAAAACATTTACATTTTAGTCATTTAGCAGACGCTCTTAAAAGAGAGTAGGTGTACTACTTAGATAGGGCAGGTTGTGGGATGACATTATGAAAATATTTTCCAGTTTTAGTCACTACAGAGGAAAACTATGAAGACAGAGAGATAATAGCCAGGGCTGTCTAATTGTAATAAAATGAAGCCTGTTTCTTTGTGATGTCTGTCCTCAGATTTGGAGAGCTGTGAAAGCCTGTCTGCAGACAAAGGTATTTTTGTAATTATAAAGGATCCCCTCTTCCTGGGGTCCAGCAACATTAAGGCAGTTATATACAATTTCAAATATTACATGGCATTACACTTCTCACAACACATTGTGTTCCCTCAGGCCACTACTCTACTATCGCATATCTACAATGAATGTCCCAAGAGACTGCTTGCACTTCCTTGTATGCCATGGGTTGTATGTGTACTTATGTTAGCAAATGTTGTATACAACAATACAAACGTATTACAGCTTTAGCAGGCCAATCGTTCTCCTGGAGGTATGCTGGGTGTGCAGGCTTCTGTTCCAGCCCAGCACTAACACACCTGATTTAACTTATCACATCTTTTTTTACCCTTTTTTCTCCCCAATTTCATGGTATCCAATTGGTAGTTACAGTCTTGTCCCATCGCTGCAACTCCCGTACGGACACGGGAGAGGCGAAGGTCGAGAGCCGCGCATCCTCCGAAACACAACCCAACCGAGCCGCACTGCTTCTTGACACAATGCCGGCTTAACCCGGAAAGGGGGGGAAACACCGTACACCTGGCGACCGTGTCAGTGTGCACTGTGCCAGGAGTCGCTAGTGCTCGATGGGACAAGAACATCCCTGCCAGCCAAACCCTGGACGATGCTGGGCCAATTCTGCGCCGCCCCATGGGTCTCACGGTCGCGGCAGAACCTGGACTCTAACCATGATCTCTAGTGGCACAGCTAGACATGTGATGCAGGGCCTTAGACCACTGCGCCACTCGGGAGGCCCCACTAACTTATCAAATCATTGATAATAATGTGTATTATTACTGAGCTGGAACAGAAATCTGCTCACCCAGTAGATCAGGGAGTGGAGCAAGGTTGTCCACCTCTGGTATGGACTCTTCTTGTTCACCTGAAATTATGCTTTAGTAATAATAGCCTACTTACTAAGATGTCTAACATTTACAAACAAGTTAGATTACTTGTACATTTTGAAATGATATGTTGATTCATTCAATGTTGATTCATTGAAGTGAAGCGTTTAAACTTGTTTTAATTGTTAACTTAAAACATTATTCAAGATGAACTAGTGTCAATCTTCATTCATCACAGATCACAATTCTGCAATAAAAAAAGGTGTGAAGGGGATCTGTCTCGAATTTGTCTGTGTTGCTTTCTCAAATGAACATGACCTTTTTGTCCAGTTGTGAGCTCTCCAAATCAGTTTTATTTGATTGTCAATGTCTCAGGATATCAGCCATGTGAACCCATTTTGCAGCTTATCATAATGGCATGCATCACCAATGCAGCCACAGGCCTACAGTATGATGGCATTACTGGCCTAATGGGTATGTGCAATCAATGTGCCCCTTGTCATTGTACATCTAAAGCAGAGAATGGCTAAACTCACATAATTTGCATATTGATGAGCAAGCTATATGTTCTCAATTTAAAATGATAGACATAAATAATGCATGAGGCTAACCATAAGCCAGATTTCCTGCATGATTTTTCTGACCTGCAATTGTTTAGTGCAAATCCAACCCTTGTATTCTAGGTACAGTATTGTACATGGGGAAAAATAAGCTGGCTATTTGTAAGCCAATTAAAAATGTAAAAAAAGAAAATAATGTGGTGTGGGGAGCGTTGTAATTCTACCTCGTTTACTTGCCCAGAATGATTTTAGAACACAAAATCAGAAGGTCAATGGCATGGAGTACTGCAGAGATGGTGTTGATGGTGGGTAAAGATAGATTTGCAAAGCTACAATTTCCTTTCCCCAAATTACCCATTCATGTGAATATAGGCCAATTTATTTTACAGGAAGTGAGCTATAATTATCAATGTCATGACACAAGTATAAATTTCACAATTTAATTTACAACACATTCACAAAACGGTGGCTTTGATGTTTAGGTTGATTAATGTTCATAGCTAGCTAGCAGCACAAGCAAATATTGTTGTGCCAATCTCTCTTCACCCACCATCAACACCAAAAATCTCTGCAATCCTCCTCTATGCCATTGACCTTGTGATTTTGTCTCCATATTATAGCAAAGAAAAATCATATAGAATTGGGAAAACCAGACACAGTAATGATTTGCTTTCCTCCATCTTTTTTGGTTGTGCTTGCCTGGAACTAATGACAGGCGGAACTATGTTTCACGAAGATCTGCTCCTCACCTGATTGGTTAACAGCAGCGGTGGCCGCGTGGAATTTGCATAAAGTAGAGCAGAGCTTAAGTTTCTATCGCTCCGCTAGCAGGGTTCGTGGCCCTCACCTTCCCACAATCCCCTGTGCATTGCTCCGCGTGCTACCGTTGAAAATGAATGGGGGCGGGACTTCGTCTGGCGAATTCGGAAGTGGTGGAAACCCTACGTTACCTACCCGTACATACCGTAGCTACTTCATACTCTTATTAGGCCAAATTAAGACAGCATGTCGAAAAGGTCTGCAGTATGGCAGCATTTCATTGTAGTAAAGGATGACGCCAAAAAAGTGGAATGCAAACTCTGCAAACAGCGGTTTGCTTACCATAGTTCGACAACGAATATGACATACCACTTGAAAGCAGTAAGTTAGCCTACTTTGTTTTTCTAGTTGCATGCTAAAACATTGACAGGCTTTATAGGCTTGATATGTGAACATTTCCAAATAATGTAATTACATAGTAATAGCATACATAATTAATTCAAAATGTAGGCCTACTTAATTTTAAACTTCGTGTATTTATAGGCGCATCCCCAGTACAGCACGAGCACCTCCACTGCTAGCTCAGGTTTAACCCAAACCACCTTGGACCAGAAGTCCCCAATCTCAGAAAAAAGAAAGAGAGAGATAACCGATGGTATCGTGGACTTCATTGCCTTGGACATGAGGCCCGTTAACCTGATAGAGGGCGTGGGATTTAAGGATATGATGAAAATCCTGGAGCCTGGTTACACCGTTCCCAAGAGAGAGACTGTTATGCATGCTCTGACAGCGAAATATGAGAACACAAAAGAGAAGGTTTTGGAGTCTATCAAAAACAGCCAGGCAGTAAGTTTTACAACCGACATGTGGACCTCACTGAGAATGGAGTCTTACATGACCGTAACTGCCAATTTCATTACGGAGGCCTGGGGACTGCAGTGTCTTGTGCTGGAGACAAAGCAAATGGAGGAGAATCACACCGCCGCCACCATTGCGCAGAGACTTGGAGAAGTGGCTGACAAATACGAAATTCCAGGATGTAAAAGGGTCGCTGTGGTACACGACAACGCCGCAAATATGATTTTGTGTGCAGATATACTGGGTCGGGAGGAGAAATGGGCAGGCGTTAAAGGAATCAGATGCGCTGGACACACCTTACAGCTGTGCATCAACGCCACTCTCAATCAAGACCCCATCTGTCGCACTGTGGCTGCAGCCAGACACCTTGTGGCTCATTTTAAGAAGCGAGCAAAAGCCAGAAAGGGACTAAAGGAGAAACAGAAACAACAAAAGGTGGTTGAACACGTCCTGATCCAAGACGTTTCCATGCTGTGGAATTCTTCTCAGACCATGCTAGCGCGTCTGATAGAACAGAGATGGCCCGTAACAGCAGTGCTCTCCGACCCCAACTACACCGGGAAAAATGAACGCAACCTTGATCTCACCACAGCGCAATGGAACATAGCAGAGGACATTTCGAATGTGCTGAAGCCGATTGTCACTCTGACGGAGTTGCAGTCCGAGGAGGAAAACGCATCCTTATCCGCAACCATACCCATGCTGACCAACCTCAAACGCCGCCACTTGGCAGCAGTGGAGGACGACAGCCCTACCACTAAGAGTCTTAAAACAAGGCTGGTGGAGGAATCCGACAAAAGATGGCAGCTCAAAGACCAACTTTTTGAGAGTAGTTTATACGTCCAAGCAGCAGTCGTAGACCCCCGCTTCAAGCTGCTTTCGTTCCTTGACGATGCAAAACGGGACGTAGCCTACATCAACGTGTCCCAGCTGGCCGACCGTTTGAGCGCCGAGGGAGACAGAGACAGCTCTACATCCACGGATGAAGAGGAGGTACCCGCACCAAAAAGAAAAAAAACGGACAAGGAGCGGGAGATTGATATGCTCATGTGTGGAGATGGAGAGAAAGAGGATCAGGGAGATAGCAAAAAAGAAGTTAAGTATTATCTCCAAGATAGAACGAAAGTCGACGCTGGACCACTAGCTTGGTGGGGGAAAAATGAGGACAGGTATCCGAAGCTGGCCAGAGCAGCGAAATATCTCCTCTCCATTCCGGCCACCTCCACTCCATCAGAGCGGATCTTTTCCAAGGCAGGGTTTATATTCAATAAAACGAGGAGCAGCCTTCTGCCCGAAAATGTTGACAAGCTGGTGTTCCTGTCTCATAACTTGAAAAGATTGAGGAAGTAGGCTATTAAGCGGCAGCCCAGGTCTATGTGAGTAAGTAGGCTAGTCCGATACAGTTGACAGATGGAGAAGATGAAGCTATTATGCTAAATATTTGGAATTGTAGAATAGCCTATGCTTATTTGTTTTTGTAGCCTAGGCCTATACAAGCCATTTTATATGTTCAGCATTAGTTTAAGCTGCTGTTGAATGCGATTTAAAAATAGGCTACAACTTGATCTTTATTTTGTTATTCATGTATTTTATTCATTATTAAACATATTTACTGTTTAATGTTCAACTAAGTTAATAGTCACTAATACTGTTCAACTATGTTGATTGAATACTATGCCTACTGGCTGTAACTGCTGCTGTTCATTATTTTAATTATGCACAATTTAAATAGTTCACTTTCTTATGTTCTTAATAATTTGATATTTCCATTTTGCAATACAGTACCAGTCAAAAGTTTGGACACACCTACTCATTCAAAGGTTTTTCTTTAATTTTACTATTTTCTACATTGTAGAGTAATAGTGATGACATCAAAACTATGAAATAACACATATGGAATCATGTAGTAACCAAAAAAGTTTTAAACAAATCAAAATGTTATATTTGAGATTCTTCAAATAGCCACCCTTTTGCCTTGATGACAGCTTTGCACACTCTTGGCGTTCTCTCAACCAGCTTCATGAGGTAGTCACCTGGAATACATTTCAATTAACGGGGGGAGGGGGGTATACAGAAGACAGCCCTATTTGGTAAAAGACCAAGTCCATATTATGGCAAGAACAGCTCAAATAAGCAAACAACAGTCCATCATTACTTTAAGACATGAAGGTCAGTCAATACATTTTAGTAATTTAGCAGACTCTCTTATCCAGAGCGACTTACAGTTAGTGAGTGCATAAATTTTTCATACGGAACATTTCAATACCTTTCTTCAAGTGCAGTCGCAAAAACCATCAAGCGCTATGATGAAACTGGCTCTCATAAGGACTGCCACAGGAATGGAAGACCCAGAGTTACCTCTGCTGCAGAGGATAAGTTCATTAGAGTTACCAGCCTCAGAAATTGCAGCCCAAATAAATGCTTCACAGAGTTCAAGTAACAGACACATCAACATCAACTGTTCAGAGGAGACTGTGTGAATCAGGCCTTCATGGTCGAATTGCTGTAAAGAAACCACTACTAAATCAATAATAAGAAGAAACCTGCTTGGGCCTAGAATCGCGAGCAATGGACATTAGACCGGTGGAAATGTGTCCTTTGGTCTGGAGGAGGTGGTGTTATGGTGTGGGGGTGTTTTGCTGGTGACACCGTCTGTGATTTATTTAGAATTCAAGGCACACTTAACCAGCATGGCTACTACAGCGATACGCCATCCCATCTGGTTTGGGCTTTGTGGGAATATCATTTGTTTTTCAACAGGACAATGACCCAACACACCTCCAGGCTGTGTAAGGGCTATTTGACCAAGGAGGAGAGTGATGGAGTGCTGCATCAGATGACCTGGCCTCCACAATCCCCTGACCTCAACCCAATTGAGATGGTTTGGGATGAGTCGGACCGTAGAGTGAAGGAAAAGCAGCCAACAAGTGCTCAGCATATGTGGGAACTCCTTCAAGACTGTTGGAAAAGCATTCCAGGTGAAGCTGGTTGAGAGAATGCCAAGAGTGTGCAAAGCTGTCATCAAGGCAAAGGGTGGCTATTTGAAGAATCTCAAATATAAAATATGTTTTGAATTGTTTAACACTTTGTTTACTACATGATTCCATATGTTATTTCATAGTTTTGATGTCTTCACTATTATTCTACAATGTAAAAAATAGTAAAAAAAATAAACTGGAATGAGTAGGTGTGTCCAAACTTTTGACTGGTAGTGTGTATCATATTTTAGAGACATAGGCTATTTGTGCTTGGAGTCAGTGATAAGCTTAGCTTAGGCCAGGGTTCTTCAATTCTGGTCCTGGAGGGCCGAAACACTTCTGTTTTTTATTTCTACCTGGTAGTTAATTGCACTCACCTGGTGTCCCAGGTATGAATTAGCCCCTGATTAGAAGGAGAGGATGAAAAACAGAGGTGTTTCGGCCCTCCAGGACCGGAATTGAAGAACCCTGGCTTAGGCTGTTTTAACCTAGGCTACTGTAGGTCTAATTCAGATTGTTAAGTACCACGATAAAGACATTTGAAAGTTGTTACCTGGTTGTGGCAATATATATATATATAAACTTAGCAAAAAAAGAAACGTCCCCTTTTCAGGATCCTGTCTTTCAAAGATAATTTGTAAAAATCCAAATAACTTCACAGAACTTCATTGTAAAGGGTTTAAACACTGTTTCCCATGCTTGTTCAATGAACCATGAACAATTAATGAACATGCACCTGTGGAACAGTCGTTAAGACACGAACAGCTTTCAGACGGTAGGCAATTAAGGTCACAGTTATGAAAACTTAGGACACTAAAGAAAAACACAAAAAGAAAGATGCCCAGGATCCCTGCTCATCTGCGTGAACGTGCCTTAGGCATGAGGACTGCAGATGTGGCCAGGGCAATAAATTGCAATGTGAGACATTTTACATTTAAGTCATTTAGCAGATGCTCTTATCCAGAGCGACTTACAGGAGCAATTAGGGTTAAGTGCCTTGCTCAAGGGCACAGACAGATTTTTCACCTAGTCGGCTCAGGGATTAGAACCAGCGACCTTTCGGTTACTGGCACAACGCTCTTAACCACTAAGCTACCTGCCGCCCCAGAGACGCCTAAGACAGCGCTACAGGGAGACAGGACGGACGGCTGATCGTCCTCGCAGTGGCAGACCACGTGTAACAACACCTGCACAAGATCGGTACATCCGAACATCACACCTGCGGGACAGGTACAGGATAGCAACAACAATTGCCAGAGTTACACCAGGAACGCACAATCCCTCCATCAGTGCTCAGACTGTCTTCAATAGGCTGAGAGAGGCTGGACTGAGGGCTTGTAGGCCTGTTGTAAGGCAGGTCCTCACCAGGCGTCACCGGCAACAACGTCGCTTATGGGCACAAACCCACTGTCCCTGGACCAGACAGGGGTGATGGTCGGATTCGCGTTTATCGTCCAAGGAATGAGCGTTACACCGAGGCCTGTACTCTGGAGCGGGATCGATATGGAGGTGGAGGGTCCATCATGGTCTGGGGCGGTGTGTCACAGCATCATCGGACTGAGCTTGTTGTCATTGCAGGCAATCTCAACGCTGTGCGTTACAGGGAAGACATCCTCCTCCCTCATGTGGTACCCTTCCTGCAGGCTCATCCTGACATGACCCTCCAGCATGACAATGCCACCAGCCATACTGCTTGTTCTGTGCGTGATTTCCTGCAAGACAGGAATGTCAGTGTTCTGCCATGGCCAGCGAAGAGCCCGGATCTCAATCCCATTGAGCACGTCTGGGACCTGTTGGATCGGAGGGTGAGGGTGAGGGCCATTCACCCCAGAAAAATCAGGGAACTTGCAGGTTCCTTGGTGGAAGACTGGGTAACATCTCACAGCAAGAACTGGCAAATCTGGTGCAGTCCATGAGGAGATGCACTGCAGTACTTAATGCAGCTGGTGGCCACACCAGATACTGACTGTTACTTTTGATTTTAACCCCCCCTTTGTTCAGGGACACATTATTCCATTTCTGTTAGTCACATGTCTGTGGAACTTGTTCAGTTTATGTCTCAGTTGTTGAATCTTATGTTCATACAAATATTTACACATGCTAAGTTTGCGGAAAATAAACACAGTTGACAGTGAGAGGACTTTTCTTTTTTTGCTGAGATATATATATATATATATATATACACACACACACACATACATACACATACAGTGGGGAGAACAAGTATTTCATACACTGCCGATTTTGCAAGTTTTCCTACTTACAAAGCATGTAGAGGTCTGTAAATTTTATCATAGGTACACTTCAACTGTGAGAGACGGAATCTAAAACAAAAATCCAGAAAATCACATTGTATGATTTTAAAGTAATTAATTTGCATTTTATTGCATGACATAAGTATTTGATCACCTACCAACCAGTAAGAATTCCGGCTCTCATAGACCTGTTCGTTTTTCTTTAAGAAGCCCTCCTGTTCTCCACTCATTACCTGTATAAAAGACACCTGTCCACACACTCAATCAAACAGACTCCAACCTCTCCACAATGGCCAAGACCAGAGAGCTGTGTAAGGACATCAGGGATGAAATTGTAGACCTGCACAAGGCTGGGATGGGCTACAGGACAATAGGCAAGCAGCTTGGTGAGAAGGCAACAACTGTTGGCGCAACTATTAGAAAATTGAAGAAGTACAAGATGACAGTCAATCACCCTCGGTCTGGGGCTCCATGCAAGATCTCACCTCGTGGGGCATCAATGATCATGAGGAAGGTGAGGGATGAGCCCAGAACTACACGGCAGGACCTGGTCAATGACCTGAAGAGAGCTGGGACCACAGTCTCAAAGAAAACCATTAGTAACACACTACGCCGTCATGGATTAAAATCCTGCAGCGCACGCAAGGTCCCCCTGCTCAAGCCAGCGCATGTCCCATCTGAAGTTTGGCAATGACCATCTGGATGATCCAGAGGAGGAATGGGAGAAGGTCATGTGGTCTGATGAGACAAAAATAGAGCTTTTTGGTCTAAACTCCACTCGCCGTGTTTGGAGGAAGAAGAAGGATGAGTACAACCCCAAGAACACCATCCCAACCGTGAAGCATGGAGGTGGAAACATCATTCTTTGGGGATGCTTTTCTGCAAAGGGGACAGGACAACTGCACCGTATTGAGGGGAGGATGGATGGGGCCATGTATCGCGAGATCTTGGCCAACAACCTCCTTCCCTCAGTAAGAGCATTGAAGATGGGTCGTGGCTGGGTCTTCCAGCATGACAACGACCCGAAACACACAGCCAGGGCAACTAAGGAGTGGCTCCGTAAGAAGCATCTCAAGGTCCTGGAGTGGCCTAGCCAGTCTCCAGACCTGAACCCAATAGAAAATCTTTGGAGGGAGCTGAAAGTCCGTATTGCCCAGCGACAGCCCCGAAACCTGAAGGATCTGGAGAAGGTCTGTATGGAGGAGTGGGCCAAAATCCCTGCTGCAGTGTGTGCAAACCTGGTCAAGACCTACAGGAAACGTATGATCTCTGTAATTGCAAACAAAGGTTTCTGTACCAAATATTAAGTTCTGCTTTTCTGATGTATCAAATACTTATGTCATGCAATAAAATGCAAATTAATTACTTAAAAATCATACAATGTGATTTTCTGGATTTTTGTTTTAGATTCCGTCTCTCACAGTTGAAGTGTACCTATGATAAAAATGACAGACCTCTACATGCTTTGTAAGTAGGAAAACCTGCAAAATCGGCAGTGTATCAAATACTTGTTCTCCCCACTGTATATAGATATATGTTTAGCTATGGCGGTCCGGACAGATAAAAAAAATATTTCTAGTTCATTTCTAGTGACTTGAGAAAAGGACATGGGCAAATATTAACTTTTTTTAAAGGCTTAAGAGGGGCCTTGCAGAGGGGCACTTACTATGTATGGTAGTCCGATCAGTTTTCAGGGCCATGGCCATTCATACTGTACTGAACACCAATGTGACTGTTAATGTGGATATATACATTCAATTAAACAACCATTTTGTACTCCCTCTGCTACTGTATGATTCATGTCCTAGTATTTTCCCTCGCTTCCCCCATGTCAGGTTGTTACTACTGATGCTCTACATACTGTATAGTTTGAAACTTATCATATTTTCAACTTATAGTTATTTATACTGTAATAACCAGCAACATGCACAGTTAAACTGTTTTCTAGGAGGAAAAAAAAGTAGGCATGAAATGGTCAAGCAAAAGTTAATCAATCGCCACTACAAAATTATCAAAAATAAAATATAATGGATGCCTCTCTCCTGCATGAAATTATCAAATGCAATACACCCTCTAGACCAGGGATGGGCAACTTTGATGGAGGGGGGGGGGTCACAGAAATCGGAACTCATCATGAGGAGCTGAACTTGCTCTCGGGTCTGTGTACCCACATCCATACCCACACATGGAGTCAGAGCCGGCCCTAGCCTTTTGGGGGCCCTAAGTAACATTTTGTTGGGGAGCAGCCCTCCCCACTTGCAAAACATTTTAACGGCCCCCCCTCTTGAAAATGTTGTAGTTTTAAATCGAGTTTGCTGCAATTCTACACATTTTGCCATGGGGCGGAGAGAAATGTTTGCAGTTTTGAATATGATATCCGAGTGAGAATGACTAACAAAATCAATGGGGGCCCCGCGGTCGGTAATTCAACCATGATTAGTACATGTTTAGATAGCTGGCTAGACAATTTTACCAATCAAAAAAAATGTAGCTGACATGGGCTAATTGAGTGACTGTCAGTGACCGACATAAGAGAAAAACTGCTGATGCACAACCAAATTTCAAAATTGCACCTTGTGTCTTCTACTATTCTAACTCTCTACAGTAAGTTGAGACCCTGATTGAGTTCTTAAAATGTTTATTTATTTGACTTGCTTCTAACATTAGGGGGGCAAGTCCCTCCATGTCCCCTTCTAAGGTTTTGAGGAAAGGGGACTGGGAAGGGAACAATAATCAAATCAACATCAAATGGTATTCTCTCGTCCGGCAGCCTTCTCCTGCCATACCTCTGTAGCACACAGTTCCCCACTCCTCTGCCACAGGTGTGTGGAACTGACTCATTAGGAGTGCTGCTGTGGCCGATGCAGTGACTCTCCAAGAAGCTGAACTGAATCTTCAGTGAGCGCTTTCTCCGGCGTTGGATAGCGGTCGCTGTCCACGGATCTGAAAGATAATCTTCAGTGTGCTGTTGAATTGGCCCACTCTGCTGGTTTGCAGGTTAAACAAATTAATTCTTCATTTTTACTTGGACAAATATAGATACAAGGCTTATTGTGTAGCCTATTACCAGCAACTTCAGGAGCGTAATTGGAGAATCTGCAAAGGCCAGCAGCAGCTTGAGGGGGGTCAGGAACAGGTTATTTTCTTCTGGTTATCTTGATCTCTGGCTCCCTCTTTCGTCATTTGTGTCTTAATTATTTCAACAGTGCGCTTAAAGCATCAGACAAGCTCAGTGCATATAGTTAATTTTCTTAACACACATAGGGTGTGTCTATATGGAAAAATGCACGTTTTAAAATTACCACCAATCGATTGGTCGAAAGAACAGAGGACTCTCGGTCGACAAATATTTGTTTTGGTGCGGGACAGCCTTACCCTGACAGTGTAACAGCACACTGCACGTAAAAGTTAAAGGTCATCCTTAGTGATGTTAGTGCACTTCTAAAGGTTGGCCAGCCAGAGTACTCACCCCTCCTGCAGGCTGCTGCCTGACTTCCAGAGGAGGCAGCCCAATCCCACCTATAGCATTAAGGTCCTCTAGAGGAGCTCTGCCAGGAGAGAGGTAGTGTTTAATGACCAGAAGAACACAACATTCAGATAGAAATGTATTGTGTAGAACATGTATCATTCTCAGTCATGTAGAATAGTGAATTGTGTATGCTCTATTCATTACAAGCCTAGGAGGTAAGGGCTAGGCGTAGTCTCTGAACAGGATACCATGTATGATGCGTTCTTACGTGATGAGTGTCTCGGTGGTCAGAGGCAGAGATCCAGTCCTGGTCTGGGCGAACATGTCAAAGTCGTCCTGAGGCTTACAGCTGGGCAGAGAGCTCAGAGTGCTGCTCACACTGTCACCCACATCTGAGGAACAACAAAAGGACATCAGCCATATTGTTCAGACATAATAAAATAAATGTTAATTACATTTGTGTTTTTAAGAATATGTCATATTGCTGAATGACCTGGTAAACAGTTCAAAGAGAACAAAATGAATCAGCACTGTTACAGTAGATTTGTCTTTTACTAAATAGACTTGGATGGTGTGTACAGTAATACAGAGTCTGGGGGACGTACCAAGGCCGGCCAGCTGAGAGGCCAGGGAGGCGGGTGAGGAAGGGCGTGCAGCGGGGGCGGTGACCATGTTGCTGACGACAGCAGGAGAGCCAGGACCCAGGTCTATCAGGTTGTCCTCTGTAGCCTCACTGAGGACCTGGGAACCAGGGATATGAGAATGAGTGAGCGAGAGAGAGAGAGCGCGACGGAAAGCGAGAGGGAGAGAGAGTCCCGCAGAAGAGTATGAAAGACCACTCTTTTAGGAGCCCATTCCAAACAGAATGCCAATTCCATTTCCCATTAGTCACTACAACAAACACAAAGTGACAAACTAGTTGCTAAGGGGATTACACAAAAAGGGCTACGGCACCTCGCTTTAGTTTGTTCATCGATTTGACCAACATCAAAATGATTAGCTAGAACAGAAGGTTTCAGGCAAATAAAGCACATAGGAATGTGAGAGATCAGGGAAAATCATAGGTTAGCTGGAGAAAAGCATGAATATGCCCATGAATGAGGAACAGTTGTTGTTTGTGGGACTTTTTGTTAAGGGTGTAGGGACTCGGACAGAAACGGCTAAGAAGAGAAATGCAATAAAATTTGATTGTGGTGAAGATTGATCTGTTTTGTGTGCCTCTCTGATTGGTCATTAAATTGTGAGCAGAGCCTACAGTTACCACGGCAATGAACTTTGCACTGGGTGTTGTTTTTTATTTTGGCTGATTAAGAGATCAATCTTTCCCCTTGAGAAAGATGGGTGGTTGTGTGGGATGGGAGGGGTCAGGGCATCTTTAGACACCTGGTAGATGTTGCCCCTTAGGCACAGATCTAGGATCAGCTTACCCTCCCTGAATCCCAACTTTAACCATACAGGGAGGACAAATCTAAACTGATCTTAGATCAGTGTCTAGTGGCAACTTCATCCTTCTCCCAGCTTTAGACTGTCTCTGGGTCAGTTACTGAGGAGTATGTGTGGCTAAAACATGCCATATGGAGCAGATGGGATTATAATATAATAATAAGCCATTTAGCAGACGCTTTTATCCAAAGCGACTTACAGTCATGCATGCATACATTTTTACGTATGGGTGGTCCCGGGGATCGAACCCACTACCCTGGCGTTACAAGCGCCATGCTCTACTAATTGAGCTACAGAGGACCACCCATATACAGGGTCATTCATCGATGTTTTAACAGTGCCACTTGGGGTCCAAATACATGTGACATACTAATTATTGGGGTGACTTTCATACTTGCCTGCCTCAGCTAGCCATAAAGACACAAAACAGAAAGGAAAAGACCATAAATACCATTAACATGCCTGGGCAACACGCCACAGTCAGTGTGGGCATGATATTAACGGTACGGCGCAGAAAGATGATCTAACAAGTAACATGCCTTAGCCTACATCTCTAGACAGAACAGACTCGACGACGTTACAGTATGAGAAAACATTTGTGAGAAACAGGCATGCTATGGAAGACAAAGTATCAAGTAGAGATAGGAATAACATGATGCATTCGCATGTGTCAACCATGTACAAATAAGGAAGTGATGTTATAGTGTGTGTGCGTGCGTGTGGGAGGGGTTACTTCCTATGGCTGTCACTGCAAACTCACCCCATTGCTGATACCCTGAGATGCTCTGCCTGACCGGAACCTCTCGTACCTGAGAGAAAAATCTAAATAATGAAAATATCCAAGTAAAAACTGGTCCACACCTGTTCATAACAACTATTACATGAAGTCATGCATGCCTCGCATTGAGTAGAAAGGTGTTATTTGAGACAGAAATGTCTCATAGTGGTGAGAAATGTTGTTGAGGTGTGTGAGCTAGCCTACCTGTCATAGCGTAGGAAGATGTTGTTGAGGTCGTCATTGACGTGCAGAAGTTCCTCTGTGACCTCCTCGTTAGACACACAGGAGATGAGCTCCACTATCCGCTGCTGCATGGCCCGGCACGTCCGGTTCAGCTCCTACAAACAGCACACACACAGGTTTACACTTTGGTACTACCCAGTGTGTGCGTTACCCAGTCTGACATTAACCCCAGTCTAGCCCTTTATACAGTTATCAGAGATCTGAAAGGATCCGATGGCGTTAGTGCTTTCATTGTGTACCAACTGCAGAAAAAGGAAACTACCTGTACCAACATTGAAAGCACTCCCTGTGGGAACACCCTTTTGCTCTATGGAAACACAATTCAATCATATTTTCTATTGGTCAAGGAACCGGACCCTATAAAATGAACTGTAACAATACCAGGGTTGAAGCTGACATCATAGAGTCAGAGAAGGGGGGGGGATGAGTATGACCTGCAGGAGCTCGTGGTCCGAGGGGTCCTCCTGTCCAGGAACCATCTCTGTCAGCATCTCTGACATCACCTTGGTGTTGCCACGCACGATGTCCAGCTCACTGCGCAGCCGACAGATCTGGACAGCAGAAGGAATAACATGTTAACTCCTCTCAGATCCATCTCCTTGCACCTTAGAATGCAAGCTTTCCAGAAGATTTTTAATTCCTTTTCACAAATCTGGGAAGGGAACAGATTTTACATTTTAGTCATTTAGCAGACGCTCTTATCCAGAGCGACTTACAGTTAGTGAGTGCATACATTTTTCATACTGGCCCCCCGTGGGAAATGAACCCACAACCCTGGCGTTGCAAGCGCCATGCTCTACCAACTGACCTACAGGGGATCTTGCAACTGTAATGGCCATTCACTGACTCCATACCTGTTCAGGTGAGGGGTTGATAGACCCAGAGGCGCCGAGGTTGGGGACCTGCGGGGCGGTGTAGGTGGGCGGGACAGACGCTGCAAAGGGTGGGGCGGAGACAGCATGGGGAGGAGGCTGCTGATGGGGGTGGGGGATAGGCTGGGCTGGGGGAGGGGCTGTGGCCTTCTGTGTGGCTTGGTTCACCTCAGGGCCAGTCGACAGCTTTAAAATGAGAAAAAATGTTTTTTTACTACAAAATAGCAGAATAACAGATGGATTCTCATACTCAACATAGAGTAGGGAAACGCATGCAAATGGATGTGACAGTGGCAGTCATACCCGTTGAGGAGTGTGGATTGGAGACAGGGTCTCCAGGTCCGACATGGGGAACTCAATGCCTTTCCTCTTCAGCTCCTCATAGATATGGACCACACCCGTCAGGTCTGGACTACTCCTGAACGCGTCAGCCCACGCCTGGGAGAAGGGAGGGAGAAAGAGAAAGTCTGTCAGTGCTTTATTCAGGTAGCCCTTTAGACTCGTACCCATACAGTGGGGAGAACAAGTATTTGATACACTGACGATTTTGCAGGTTTTCCTACTTACAAAGCATGTAGAGGTCTGTCATTTTTATCATAGGTACACTTCAACTGTGAGAGACGGAATCTAAAACAAAAATCCAGAAAATCACATTGTATGATTTTTTAGTAATTAATTTGCATTTTATTGCATGTCATAAGTATTTGATCACCTACCAACCAGTAAGAATTCCGGCTCTCACAGACCTGTTAGTTTTTCTTTAAGAAGCCCTCCTGTTCTCCACTCATTACCTGTATTAACTGCACCTGTTTGAACTCGTTACCTGTATAAAAGACACCTGTCCACACACTCAATTAAACAGACTCCAACCTCTCCACAATGGCCAAGACCAGAGAGCTGTGTAAGGACATCAGGGATAAAATTGTAGACCTGCACAAGGCTGGGATGGGCTACAGGACAATAGGCAAGCAGCTTGGTGAGAAGGCAACAACTGTTGGCGCAATTATTAGAAAATGGAAGAAGTTCAAGATGACGGTCAATCACCCTCGGTCTGGGGCTCCATGCAAGATCTCACCTCGTGGGGCATCAATGATCATGAGGAAGGTGAGGGATGAGCCCAGAACTACACGGCAGGACCTGGTCAATGACCTGAAGAGAGCTGGGACCACAGTCTCAAAGAAAACCATTAGTAACACACTACGCCGTCATGGATTAAAATCCTGCAGCGCACGCAAGGTCCCCCTGCTCAAGCCAGCGCATGTCCAGGCCCATCTGAAGTTTGCCAATGTCCATCTGGATGATCCAGAGAAGGAATGGGAGAAGGTAATGTGGTCTGATGAGACAAAAATAGAGCTTTTTGGTCTAAACTCCATTCGCCATGTTTGGAGGAAGAAGAAGGATGAGTACAACCCCAAGAACACCATCCCAACCGTGAAGCATGGAGGTGGAAACATCATTCTTTGGGGATGCTTTTCTGCAAAGGGGACAGGACGACTGTACCGTATTGAGGGGAGGATGGATGGGGCCATGTATCGCGAGATCTTGGCCAACAACCTCCTTCCCTCAGTAAGAGCATTGAAGATGGGTCGTGGCTGGGTCTTCCAGCATGACAACGACCCGAAACACACAGCCAGGGCAACTAAGGAGTGGTTCCGTGGCCTAGCCAGTCTCCAGACCTGAACCCAATAGAAAATCTTTGGAGGGAGCTGAAAGTCCGTATTGCCCAGCGACAGCCCCGAAACCTGAAGGATCTGGAGAAGGTCTGTATGGAGGAGTGGGCCAAAATCCCTGCTGCAGTGTGTGCAAACCTGGTCAAGACCTACAGGAAACGTATGATCTCTGTAATTGCAAACAAAGGTTTCTGTACCAAATATTAAGTTCTGCTTTTCTGATGTATCAAATACTTATGTCATGCAATAAAATGCAAATTAATTACTTAAAAATCATACAATGTGATTTTCTGGATTTTTTGTTTTAGATTCCGTCTCTCACAGTTGAAGTGTACCTATGATAAAAATGACAGACCTCTACATGCTTTGTAAGTAGGAAAACCTGCAAAATCGGCAGTGTATCAAATACTTGTTCTCCCCACTGTATACGGGTTGAAAATGGCAGATTTGGGCACTGATAAACATCTAAATTGGAACACAGTGGCTGTACAGTAAAATGCTATACATGACATCAGAGCTCTGGCTCTGTGCTTCACAGGGAAAGGCTGTCAATTAAAGAAGACTATGTATTTTGAAAGAGACGTTGAGGATTATAATAACTACTGCTTTGATGTCATAAAAGCAAGCAAACCCATGAGTCCAAATGTGCACTCCACATTTCCATATCATAAAACTCATGTCATATACAGTGTCAACGTTTATGATCACTATGTTTGATGTAGAGTTACAAGATGACATGGCGTCACCCTGGATTGTTCTGAACAGAATGAGCCTGTGTTTGTCTATTGCCTTTGGAGCAGTGAGGGGAACGGCACCCCTGTACCTTCAGGCTCTGATCAGTCCCTACACCCAAACGAGGACATTGCGTTCATCCACCTCTGGCCTGCTGGCTCCCCTTCCTCTGCGGAAGCACAGCTCCCCCTCAGCCCAGTCAAAACTGTTCGCTGCTCTGGCACCCCAATGGTGGAACAAGCTCCCTCACGACGCCAGGACAGCGGAGTCACTCACCACCTTCCGGAGACATTTGAAACCCCACCTCTTTAAGGAATACCTGGGATAGGCTAAAGTATTCCTTCTAACCCCCCCCCCCCCCCCCCCCCCCCCCAAATTGTAAAGTGGTTATCCCACTGGCTATAGGGTGAACGCACCAATTTGTGAGTCGCTCTGGCTAAGAGCGTCTGCTAAATGACGTTAATGTGCCCTTGAGCAAGGCACTTAACCCTAATTGCTCCTGTAAGTCGCTCTGGTTAAGAGCGTCTGCTAAATGACTAAAATGTAAAATGTAAAATGTGAAGAAAATTTGCCACGGTACACACACCTCAATGCACTCATGACTCGTTTCTGCGCGCAGCAAAATAATGATCAATTTCCTGAATTGCATTGTGAAAGCCTAACACCGTAATATTGTATTTTATAACTTAGCTATTCATGTTGGCAATTGGCTTTCAAATTATGCCCACCTGACCCAGATTGCGATTTACAATGGACCGTTTTTGGATTGCATAAACAGTAATTTTGTGATGTGGGGATGCAGGGTTGTGTTCCAAACAAAACAACTACAAGTGTGCTTGCTCTATTTCCTCAACGGCACAGCTAGGAAGAAGAAAAAAAAAAGCACCTTATAGTTGAATACTTTTCTTTGAGTCACAAGTGCATTGAAATGACTTAGGAACTGTGCACACTGTGGTGAGGTGTGTGGCCACTTGGAGACACCAGTTAGTCCGCTCACTCAAACCCTTGTAATTGAGGTGTCTTATGTTGCACCTATCCAACATTTTCCAGGAATATTCTTATCATGTTACTGAATGTATCCAGAGTATTTTCAGATTTCGTTATCAACAAATGCAGCGAAAAGTATAGTAAATGTAAAATGCAGTGTAATGTTTGGATTCAGTCTTGTGTCAGGTGAACTGTTTTGTCCTCACCTTTGGTCTGATAATTTTGCAATAATCTCCTAACTGTTCCTTATAATTTTGCAATAATCTCCTAACTGTTCCTTTTCAATTGCTCCCATGGTTATGCATATGCTTTTCATTTTTCTTCTATTCTAAACATTTTAATTTAGCCCTATTCATATAGGCCAATTCCCACATGTGTAGAGGGTTAAATGGTCAAAGTATTTAGGTCAAGGGTGTCACAAATTACATTTAAGCTACCACAAAAGCTCTTGTTGGCTGAGCAATGAAGCATGTGAGCATCTTGGGTGTATCATCATTACACATTCATCCTTGTAAGAAAACAGTGCCGCGTTTGTAATAACACTTGCATGTGGTCTGGTGAAAACCATTAAAGTTCCATCAACAGCCACCATCTCAGAGGGAAACTAGAGGCCACCTGAGGCAATCGGCCAGGGTTACCCAAGATCCCCATGGTAACCAGAGAACACCTGGCTGCAGGTAGCAAACACCTGAGGCCCTGCCTGAAGAACACTGGATCCCCCAGGGCTGCAGCCACAGGCAACCAACACCTTTCTCTCCCCAACTACCTCATACTGTGCAGTACAGTATACTCTCTCAAAGCACTTCCATATAGTATACTTTCTCAAATGACTTCTATTTGCTCAAGGACAAACTATCATCATCATCTCCTAACACAATTCTGTCAGAATACTTTAAAATGTAGTTTATCAATGAAAGCTCGTTCTATTAGCTTTATCACCAAAGTTGTCACAAATAAATAAAAACATGTAATGCATACACACTCTCTCACACATAAGTGTGTGATCCTTTACCTGGATCAAGGCGAGCACTTTGTCTTGTACGATGGCGGGAGGGTTGTTTTTGGGGGAGATGATTTTTACAAGCACGCCGTCTATGAAGTCTCTGCTGGTGACAAGGGCATGAAAACGATGCCCGCAGTTCTTCACACATGTCTCCAGGACGGTCAGTGCCAGCATCACCTCCCTGTAGTTCTTGTTCCCGTTCAGCCTTTTCTTCATGGCCCTGATGGCATCCTTGGGCCTGCAGCAACAACGCACAGCGCAGAACAGAGCGCAGGGTCAGATAGGGAGGAGACAGACACACATGATAACTACAACAGCGTAGTAACGATGTAGTAACTGCACCACCAAGCAGAATTTCGCCATGTTGACTGAAATAATGTTAGTAATACTTTACATAAATCTTTATTTATGTAAAGTATTACTAACAATGGTCTAGGCTACACTATAATGCAGATACATCATAACAGTGGTAGGTGTGGCCTTCCCTTGAATTCCTGATACAGAGGGCTTTATCAAACTGATGTCATATTTTGAGATAAACTGTGAGTAGGGGCAAATCCACCTGCCCTAATTTACCACACACTTATCAAACAGAAACAGGCAATGGACTTTAACACTTTTACAAACAAGTTTAATGGGCCAGATAGCTATCCAAGCCCTAGATAGTAGGCCAGTACTTGGATCAAATCCATTCCTGCCTTTGATAAGAGGCAAGGCAAACAGAGCGAGAGACCTTCACCAAGAAAGCATAGCCATATTCACAAGTCCAACTTCACACAGCTCCAGAATAGGTGTAAAGTGTGTTTAATTCACATCATTCATTAGCCTAGTTAAAATGCACTTTTCTACTCACCCATCCTCGGTTTCATTGATGATGTCACATATTTCCATATTGAGGGCCCAGTCCTCACTCTGAAGCGAGCCATCAGTGGCTCTCTCTAAAGAAGACAGAACATTAAATTCCCCCTTGTCAGAGCAGTAGAAAATGATTGTAATTTGAAAACAAGATCCTTTTCATGATTGCAATGATCACACAGGCTAACTTGTAAACTAGCAAGGTTTGTAGCTAGCTATTTAGCTCAGTCACAACAACGCTATACTAATGTAGCTAGCTAGCTAACTAAGTTAGTTACCCAGTCATGTACTGGGGAGGCTTGTTATGCCCCCGTGCCTTGGGTTCTTGAGAGCTAGCTAGCAACTTAGGACAGCTGTGTCCAGGTGATCAGTGGTCCAGCTGTCAAATGCATGACATACCACATGGTTCATTCGAATAGCTAGCTAGCCACTTACAAACATTTGCTAGCCAACCAGTTATCGAGACCAGATACAGACCGTAACTAGCTTGGTTGCTAGCAAGTTTAACTTTAGTAGCGAGTGTAAATGAATAGGTTGCAACAAACAAACGGCAGATGCCCACCACGAACTAGCAAGATTACCACGAACTATTGCTTATGCTTACATTGATGAATATATAGCTACATAACTAGTTAACTACATATTTATTGCAAATTATCTGAAGCTAACCAGCTTTGAAATAACCTAAATGATAGCTAGTCAGCTGGTTAGCTTCGCTACTATGGGGTTCGATAGCCAAAGTCAAAGAACTTAGCTAGCTAGCATTAAAGACGATTACGTTAACTAGCCAAGTAAGAATCAAATGTCATGGCGATTCAAGAATGTGAAACACGATTATCTGCAGATTCCTTTCAATCAGTTATTAAAAAAAAAAAAAAACTAAAAACGTACCAATACAATGTCCAACAGGAGTGCTGTATGGATTTCCCAAAAGGAACTCCATCTCGATCGACTTCAAACAATTTGTACGAAGTCACGGTTCATGGAAAATACAAAGTAAGCCCCGCCCATCGACCAATTTCATTGGCAGAGGCATCCAGTATGTCAATCTGATTGGGCAGCATTAACGTCCATCATTGCAGTGCAGACCTTTGTAAATAAATGACAACCATCACTGCATTCATGAATCTGAAAGGACTACATAAAGAAAAATTAAGAAAAACTAGATTTAAAAAATATTACGGTGACAAAATGTTTGTGAGTCTTATTTCCAATAAGGTTATGTAAAGAGTATGACATTTTACAATCTGGCAGTGTACATAATCCAAAGTATGTTTACATAGAACATTTCTCATATCCACATTTACATTTATGTCATTTAGCAGACGCTCTTATCCAGAAGACATGTCATGGGACAAAAATGCAGTGCTAGGATTTCAAAATGTTTGCTTTTCAAAAAATAACAGAACAGTGTTTCCATGTGTCATTTTTATTCTAATGCATTTAGGGTTTGATTCAAAGTGGTTTGACAAAAAAGCTGGTGATGTATGTAACAGCTGTGCATGTAACAATAAACATGTTTTAGTCAGTTTGACCCATTGATAGATTTATAAAATGTATACTGAAGCAACAGAAAAACTAAGTCAACTTTGTACAAGCTAGTAAGCATAATACAGTGGGAGTGAGAGAGACATCTGGGCTGAGACAGAGTGCACAGGGAATTAACATTCCTCCCCTGAAGGGACAACACTCACTGTTTCCATAGAAACATGCAATGTTCCCAAAAGTCACTGATGACTGAGAAACTGATTCAAAACACAAACTGTAGAAGAGATGACTATCATCATACTTGGCTGTTTCCAAGTTGTACTTTATAGGGAAGGAGAGTGTCAGAGAAGACTGTTCCTCTTTACTGAAATTAAACAACACAGGTCTCTCTCTCTTTCTCTCAAAGCCAAATGACATTTACTCCTGAGGTGCTGACCTGTTGCACCCTCTATAACCACATATTATTATTTGACCCTGCTGGTCATCTATAAACGTTTGAACATCTTGAAGAACAATTTGGCCTTAAAGACCATGTACTCATTATTCATGTGCAATGAATAATGTGGAAATTGAGCAAGTTGAGGAGACTAAACTGCTTGGAGTAACCCTGGATTGTAAACTCTCATTGTACAAACGTATTGACGCAACAGTAGCTAAGAAAGGGAGAGGTCTGTCCATAATAAAGTACTGCTCTGCCTTCTTAACAACAATATCAACAAGGCAGGTCCTACAGGCCCTAGTTATGTCGCACCTGGACTACTGTCCAGTCGTGTGGTCAGGTGCCACAAAGACGGACTTAGGAAAATTACAATTGGTCCATAACAGGGCAGAAAGGCTGGCCCTTAAATGTACACTGAGAGCTAACATTAATAATATGCATGTCAATCTCTCCTGGCTCAAAGTAGAGGAGAGATTGACTTCATCCCTACTTGTATTTGTGAGAAGTATTGACATGTTTATTTTTTATTTAAGCTTTATTTAACTTAATGAATGCATGAGCTCTGTTTAAACTACTAGCACACAGCTCAGACACCCATGCATACCACACAAGACATGCCACCAGAGGTCTCTTCACAGTCCCCAAGTCCAGAACAGACTATGGGAGGCACACAGTACTACATAAAGCCACGGTACTCTATTCCACATCAATTAACTCACGTAAAAATCAGCAGTAAAAATCAGATTTAAATAACTGATCAAAATGTATCTTATGAAACAGCGGGGACTGTGAAGAGATACACATGGATTTTTTGTGTTGTAGATATATGGTAGTAGAGTAGTGGCCTGAGGGCACACACTTAATGTGTTGCGAAATCTGTCGTGAAATGTAATGTATTTTTTTTAAATTGTATATAACTGCTTTAATTTTGCTGGACCCCAGGAAGAGTAGATGCTACCTTGGCAGCAGCTAATGGGGATCCATAATAAATACAAATACTCATAATCTCCACCCGGCACAGCCAGAAGAGGACTGGCCACCCCTCAGAGCCTGGTTCCTCTCTAGGTTTCTTCCTAGGTTCCTGTCTTTCCTGGGAGTTTTTCCTAGCCACCGTGCGTCTACATCTGCATTGCTTGCCTGGAAACCCGACATTGGAATTCTACGTCGGGCAGAAACGTCGGACAATCAGGAAAGTTTCCTCTCACCACCTCTACAAGCCAGAATGTTGAATAAAATGATATTTTAACATACTTCACCAGTTGTTTGTGCGGCTGGTCATTTTGGCGGTAGGAATGAGACAATATATCCACAGGAAAGTATAATTACATCAACTTTTCAAAGTGCTGGTAGTGCGTTCAGATTTCTATCACCTGAAGCATGCGCAGATCCATGTAAACATGTGCACGAGCTTGGCAAGTATGCAGGTATTTTTATTCTCGGGTTTCCAGGCAACTGAATTTCTTGTTCTTTGGGGTTTTAGGCTGGGTTTCTGTATAAGCACATTGTGACAACTGCTGATGTAAAAAGGGCTTTATATATACACATTTGATTGATTGACGGACAGATAAAATATTATGTGTTTTTGTTCCGCAAAGGACAACACCAGAGATAAACTCAAGTCCTAAGGAGTTGGGATTTCTTCCCAGTCAGAGGCCAGTACACTGCCTTTGTTGTCTTTGCTCTTAAGAGTCCTGTCTGAGTTTGTATGTGTTTGACTCAGGGAAGCACTGAATGTCCTCCTTAGTCTTGCATGAGATTGCGTTTGACCGTTGAACATTCGGAAGAGAAATGTACAAACAGAGCCCCTGCTGCTGTACGTGACCTCAGCTCATACAGGTCAACATCATGAGCCCACTCTACGTTTCCCCAATGTCCGATCTATGGAGAGGGAAAAGAGAAAGAGGAAAATAAATAATTAGTAAGAGAGAAAAAGAGACAGAAACATAATATAATATAATATGCCATTTAGCAGACGCTTTTATCCAAAGCGACTTACAGTCATGCGTGCATACATTTTTATTTTATTTTTTTGTGTATGGGTGGTCCCGGGGATCGAACCCACTACCTTGCCGTTACAAGCGCCGTGCTCTACCAGCTGAGCTACAGAAGACCACAGACAGGGAGATTGAGTACATATCCAAGATGCTTTTCTAAATCGCTGTATATGCATTGTTTCTGTTTGCGAGCTCATACCTGGAACTCCGCCTCTAGTCGTGACAGCAGCACGGCCTGCTCCACTGTAATGTGTTTGTCAATTAACGCAAAGGCAAGCACCACTGACTTCAGCTGGGTGATCACATACTCCAGTCCTACACACAGAGGAGGTCACACAAAGAATACTAGTACAGTAGTGTACAGTCTATTTAACTGAGACTCCACAATATTATGTGATCATAAACACTGGTGCAACTTCTGAGTGCAAAGCAAGAGCCTCTACCTGAAGTGGCCCAACAAACTGAAAATAGAGAGGATTCTCTCTCCATTTTTAGTCCATTGGTCTATGCAAGAGGCTGATTCCTTTAGCACCCACATACAGTACATAATCTGCACAAGTGCACAGGATGGGAATATCTCTAATGACTCAGATGCTTTTACCTGTCAGGGACCAGAGGTTATAGGAACCCAGGTGCTGGCGGAAAGTATCCATCGTCGCCTGTGGGATCTCTGGCCCTAGTATACTGGTGGAGGAGCCAATGACTACGTTGTACCTGAAAGAGAAAAACATTAATTCAAGTATTCTCAAGACAATGCTACAAATTTCTGTTTCCCTCCTTTGCTGAAGATGACAGGCAAATACGTAGACATGTCCAGTGAACTTTTAGTAAAGTAACTCACAGAAAATGAGTCAATGATCATCTTAAAGTGAAACCAACCGGTCTTCAATCCAGTTCAACACAGGGTCCCATTCATTATTCTGAAGCTCCACTAGAGATGGAGGCTCCTCAACTCTGTAACTGCAAGGAGACAACATACACACAGTTTCAATCCCTATGCAATCATACACATTAATGATCTGTATAAATAATTACTGATGGAGGGAACCTAAACCCCCATGCTACTACTAAGATCTCTGCGTACCAGATAGTGTCAGTCTCCAGATACTTGAGGGCAGCGGTGATCATTTGGTCCTTGCTGCGGAACGTAGGGTTATCTAGGGCTGTGTTGCAAAGAGTGGTCTGGAGGAGGAGAGAGAACAAATCTCAAATGGCACCCTTTTCCCCCATATAGAGCATTAGTTTGAATCCGGGCCCAAGTCAAAAGCTCTAGTGAAAGTAGTGCCCTGTATGGGGTACAGTGACCATTTCAGATACAGACAACATTAAGCATTGAACAAAAGTACTAAGGTAAAAGGTCATACCATATGCATGCTGTAGAACTTGAGCGTGTCTTTCTGAGTATCCCACTCATTCGCCACGGCTATGGCTAAGGCTTCATTGGGGGCTGTGAAAAGCTTTCCTCCTGGTGTCTTCAGTTTCCGCCGGTCCAGGTTTATCTCAAACATGCCACCTGCAGACCAAATATCAAGGTGAGAAAAAAAAGTGAGTTCTTAGCACTCAGACTTCATATTTAAATAATTTGAAGAGAGAAAGTCCCTTACTCTCCAAGTCCCGATACAGTACTCACCCTCTCCGTGGGATATGCTGACATCCTCGTAGAATTTCTTTCTTTCTGTTGATGAGAGCAAAACAAAGTCAACATGACAAGAACTGTGCAACCTCCATGTTGCATATAGCCAGGAACATTGTAATCCAGCAAGCTCTTGAAAGCCTTCTTGATATTTGATTAACAAGTCATTGGTACACCGCTTACCTGTGACAATGGAGTAGGATTTTGAGTTTACAGAGATCAGAGGGAGCAGCTTAAGAACTTGACCTCTTGGGCAGACAGTGGGGGGAGATAGGGCATGCCCCAGACGACTGTGCAATCTCACAAGATTCCTCAGCATCGTGTCAGTGACAGAGAGGTTTTAACAAACAAGTTTCCCCAATTGAAGTGGGGTTCAAACCTACAGTTGACTTGGCTAGCTGATCTAACGTTAGCTAACAGAATGCCGGATCGTGTTGCTACTCAAAATGCAGGACACATATTTGCACACACCTCTCACTACATCGCATCTTCATGCGTGTGGCATTTCGTGTTTGGCAGATTCGACAAAATTCCCAGATACATGGGAAATGTAGTTCCATTCTGGTTATATAATCACCCAGGATGCACGAGTGCCAGAGCGAAAAGAACTACATCCTCAAAAGTCCTTGACAGCGTTGCGCTAAATAAGCCAATGAGCAGCGCGCTTTTAGACTAGTGAAATCCCTTGGCTAATGAGAGAGGAAGATGCTGCTGCCTTATGACGCCCGCGACGAAGTCCATTTACTTTTCTGGAGCTTGGTGGTGAGGTGACTGAAGTACTAGATTAGAAGGGATTTGGATGTAGGTGAGCCGCCTCATTCGTGCTCTCTGTACCATCTTCCCACATCTATCGCCCGGACGGCCACTGACTGCGGTCGGTGTCCTCCCCGCGGTACCAGAACCATGCCTGTCCCCGCTGGATACCTCAGTAATACCCCCATGGCCTTCACATCCTCGGCCTCGCTTATCCCACCTCCCCTGATCAACACCCACCAGCCCGGGGTTGTCGCCTCACTTCTCTACAGCGGCTCCAAGTTCCGAGGACATCAGAAGAGCAAAGGCAACTCCTACGATGTCGAGGTTGTTTTGCAGGTCCGTTGGATTTATGAAACTTTCATTTGCCAGTCAGCTGACGACTCAATTTGCTGACAAACATGTAAAAAACATAAAAATGATTGACAGCTTCCAGAAAATCAGCCTTAGAGCACAGTGTTGGCAGCTGGTTAGTAAACAACGTTACCGCCAGCGTCATCTTACACTTTGTCAGGGGTGTTCATAATCACCGGCCATGAAACCTAGATGTTAGATGACCCTATCATTAATTGAAGTGACATTCTAGTGACGAACATGTCTGCTGTGCGGTAGGTGAGCTGGCATTAGTGAAAATGTTATTACCAGAATTTGATTAAACTGTGTTTTGATGCATCGTTGGCTTACATCATGACATAAATGGAAAGAAGTTACACATTAATTCCATTATCTAGCTAGTGAACATTTATATACTGTTTTCAAGTCTTGTGTTTCTTTCAGCATGTGACCATGGAAGACTCATGCTTGTGTGGGTACTTGAAGATCAAAGGGTTGACAGAGGTGAGAATGATTTACCTGATACTGAAAAGAGGTTGAATAAAGGTTGAATCTTACCCCTTTATTTTCATCATGGTTCTGAGTCCCAGCATAACTTGTTTCTCTTTCTCTGTTTTTTTCTTCTATAGGAATACCCCACTCTGACTACATTCTTTGCAGGGGAGATCATCAGTAGGAAGCGTCCGTTTCTAACCAGGAAGTGGGATGCAGATGAGGATGTGGATCGCAAACACTGGGTAAATCGAATATGTTATCATTAATTTAATTTAGCCTAATTCAATAATTTAATTTAATAATCTGATTCCACCCACGTTGCTCTGCTTTAGACCTCAGTGCCAAATGAAGTAGGAGCTAATCTTGCCTGGTAAGAATGTGGGGGCGTCATCCCCCTCATCAATGTTGTTTGTTTGCTGTTAATCTCTCGTGGACAGAATACATAAAGAAATTGTATTTTGACATCTGTCAAAAGTCCCTGGGATGCGACGACTAACGAGCAACAGTAGGCTAGTTCTAGTGTTTTGGTTTTCCGCCACTAGTTATTTGGTTGTATCAGGATTGGGTGAACGTGGTGCTTAAAGTGGGGGTGGAGATTTCAAGCAATGAGGGGATTCGATTAAGCTGGCCCAGGTGGGTGGACTTTGCACCGGGTGAAAAGTGATTGCATTTGTTTGGAACCAGGCTGCCTCCCGTGCGTGAGCCCCGTTCTGGCCGACGGGGAGGGGGGGTCTGATATCAGTAGATTTGTCAAGCAAGAACAATAGTTATGATTGTAAAACATATTGTACTGTTCCAGCAAAAGGACCCTGTGTAGTGTGGTGTTTTAACTATTTTCTATTTGGGCTCCAGGGCAAATTCCAGGCCTTCTACCAGTATGCAAAGACGTTCAACTCGGATGAGTTTGACTATGAAGAGATGAAGAACTCTGACTACATCTTCATGAGGTGGAAGGTAAGCTCAAACCAGACTGCATGTTACCTATTCCTCCATTACCAAGGAAAACCTGAAACATGGATATGAGGTTTGGCAACATTTCCTCTATGTACAGTTGTTTGAATGATGTGCTAACTGTTGTGTTTTCCTCCTCTACAGGAGCAGTTCCTGGTCCCTGATCACACCATTAAAGACATCAGCGGTGCTTCCTTTGCTGGTTTCTACTACATCTGCTTCCAAAAGTCCACAGCCACCATAGAGGGGTACTACTATCATAGGAGCTCAGAATGGTAACAGGAGACTAAATACTAACTGGGTCATTCATAAAAATGTGATAAAACTGGTTCAGATGTAGCCAGGACTTGCTAACTTAGAACATATTCTTGTGCATCATCAGTTCTGATGCGTTTTATTTTTTTCTCTAAATTAAGATTTGATTTGCTCAGGTTATCAGGGTCAGAATGCAGTTCATGCCCTAATTCTGTGGGGCATGAACTTGTGTGATTTCATTTATTTTTTTCAGTCAAGTTCAAAAGAATGAAGGGTTGATTTATTTGATTTGGGACTGGCCAATGCATCTCTCCTCTCCTGACTTTCCACACTAACTAGCACTGTCTGACTCTGTCTCCCTCAAAGGTACCAGTCTCTGAACCTCACCCATGTTCCAGAACACAGTGCAGCCATCTATGAGTTCCGGTGACCCAGGCATTGTGGCTCTGTTGGCTCAGGACTTTAAGGCCTGCAGAAGCTACATGAAGACTGAGAAGGACTGGGGAAGGATGGGTAGAGGGGGGGACATGAAAACTGTGTTGTTACTACTACCAAGAGGACATGCTTTTCTGTCTGAAATAAAAGGAAATGGAATGATGGATTTATTGATGGACAGATGGAAGCAGGTCTGTTGGACTGGAGCTTTCACGCATGAAGGGATGGACAGAGGGAAAGGACTGCTCTGCCCCAGTCAGGGCAGGCAGGAGCTTCAGTCATGTGGGATTGGGGCAGACACCCGTAGCAGTGTGATGCTTCATAATTTCTTCATTTGTTTTAACGTCTGATTTTAAAAGCTTGTTTTCTTTCACTCTGCTGCGTCAAGGTCCAGTCATGAGTTATGAAAATTGTGACTTCAGTCAGAGTCCTGGACTCGAGTACTACAACACTTATCTTTGGACACTATAAATAAATCTGGGGTTTCCCTCTTGCAACGGGGGATTTGTCTGCTTTTATCCAATTCTCATCTGAGCTTAACAGATATTGGACAAGGATTCTTCTAGCAGTCTGCTCTACTCTATCAAACGCTGGATCTCTTTTGAAGCTAAATGTCAGCGTGTGGAATAATGTTCTCTGATGTTTGAACTACACTGCATCTTTTGGATTGGAGCTTTAAAGACTTCATAGCTCATTGAATGACAGTGTTATTGTTTTATTTTAAATCTAGGCTAACTTCTGATTGCCTGCAAAGAGATTTTGCAAGTTACCTCTTCAGCTACCCGTTGTAAAGCTTCAGACGACAGAGTAATGACTGTATGGAGGTCTGTGCTCTGTGGAAAAGACTGAGGTGACATTCATGAGTGCTTGTGGTTCTTGTATTGTGGGTTTCATTTGCACATGTGTTTTAACTCCAGTGCAACACTTCTAATCCAGTATACATACGTAAGGTAACGCATAGGTCATGGTTGGATTTAAGATGGAATCATATGTTACTAGGCCCATGCAGTCAGCAGCATTTTACTTTTCACTCGCATTCATTAAAAGAAAAATAATTTGGTCTCAAACTTCTGTTTTCCTCAGGTGTCCATGCCCCTTTATCGTTAACTATGCAACATTATTCAACATCGTTATGCAACAGCAGCATTCTTGACTTCAACCATACACCTCTAGGTTTAAAAAACCAGATGTATTCTATATAATAGTATTAAAAATGTCTTATTAAAGGAAATATTTTGTCTAATTGCCCTTTCAAGCACTACCCTTCCACATTTGCCCTGTCCATGCAATGGTGCCATCTTTTTAAAGCTTATCAAAATGTATTATACCAGTATGTGTGATTATGGACAGAAAGCAGATTGGTGTGGCCTGACTGGTTGTGAGGGATGGAGTAAATCATATCAAAACCCCTTATTTTGTATATTTCTTTCAAGACTGTTGTATGAACTGTACTGCACTGACATACTAGTAATGGGTCCTGTTCTTTATATTCCTCCATAAAAACATACAACGAACTAAATGTTATTCTGGACAAGTACACAGAGTATGCTCTTTCCATGACAGAGTGACCAGGTGAAAGCTATGATCCCTTGTTGTCACTTGTTAAATCCACTTCAATCAGTGTAGATGAAGGGGAGGAGACAGGTTAAATAATGATTTGTAAGCCTTGAGACATGGTTTGTGTATGTGGGCCATTCAGAGGGTGAATGGGCAAGACAAAAGATTTAAGTGCCTTTGAACGGGGTATGGTAGTAGGTGCCAGGTGCACCGGTTTGAGTGTATCAAGAACTGCAATGCTGCTGGGTTCTTCACGCTCAACAGTTTCCCGTGTGTATCAAGAATGGTCCACCACCCAAAAGACATCCAGACAACTTGACACAACTGTGGGAAGCATTGGAGTCAACATGGGCCAGCATCCCTATGGAACGCTTTCGACACCTTGTAGAGTCCATGCCCGGACGAATTGAAGCTTTTCTGAGGCAACTCAATATTAGGAAGGTGTTCCTAATGTTTGGTATACTCTGTGTATTCTTAGCCACATCAAGGTCAAGAATGCACAGCTGGATAACCGCTTTTGGCTCCCTAGCTGTCCTACCTACCTAATACTACCCTCTAGTGGTGACACCGGTTTGAAGTAGAAATGTAAGGTTTCGGGTAGGGATGTCCCAGGGTGACTGGATAGCACTGGCCAATGTTGCTGTCAATAGTTTACAACAGTCTTCTGGGTCATAACGAAAGAAAGGATTCCAAGGCTAAAAAACATTCCTTACCCCAGGAAACGTCAATGGGTGACTATACCGTACAATAAAGAAAAAGGAGCACTCTGTTTCTGCACAGATCTGTTCATTTATTGACGGGACAAACAAGCAGGCGTAGGTTTTGGCATCATCGTCTTCATCATCATCGCCTTGGGGGTCAGTGAAACTAATATGTAACCATTTCCAATGCCTGATTCAGATTCTGTCTTTCTTAGATTAATTAACCATAAAGTACACTGCTTCATAGATATCCCCTCCTGTGCTGTGCTGTGAGGAGAAGGAGCGCTGCAGTGTACTGAGTTTCCTGAAGTCCCACACGGAGATGGAAGGACCGGGCGAGGAAGAGGGCGGATGGCGAGAGGAAGCGAGGCATAGATACTGTATATAGTGAACAAAATTATAAACGCAACATGTAACATTTTGGTCCCATGTTTCATGAGCTGAAATAAAATATCCCAGAAATATTCCATACGCACAAAAAGCATATTTCTCTCAAATTCTGTGCACAAATCTGTTTACATTCCTGTTAGTGAGCGTTTTTCTCCTTTGGCAAGATAATCCATCCACCTGACAAGTGTGGCATATCAAGAAGCTGATTAAACAGCATGATCATTACACAGCTGAACTTTGTGCTAGGGACAATAAAAAAGCCCCTCTAAAATTTGGATTTTTGTCACACAACACAATGCCACATATGTCTCAAGTTTTGAGGGAGCGTGCAATTGGCATGCTGAATGCAGGAATGTCCACCAGAGCTGTTGCCAGAGAATTGAATGTTGCCATTTGCCTCCAATGTCGTTTAAGAGAATTTGACACTACATCCAATCGGCCTCACAACCGCAAACCACATGTAACCACGCCAGCCCAGGACATCCACATCCGGCTTCTTCACCTGCGGGATTGTATGAGACCAGCCACCCGGACAGCTGATGAAACTGAGGAGTATTTCTGTCTGTAATAAAGCCCTTTTGTGCGGAAAAACTCATTCTGATTGGCTGGGCCTGGCTCCATGGCTGCGCCCCTGCCTAGTCATGTGAAATCCATGGATTAGGGCCAAATTTATTTATTTAAAATGACTGATTTCCTTATATGAACTGTAACTCAGTAAAATAGTTGAAATTGTTGCATGTTGCATCTATATTTTTGTTCAGTATATTTAGAAAGAAGGCCGCAAGGTGCAAACCTGTAATACAAGCCGAGTACTTTCTCCTTTGAGTCAAATACAGGAGAGAAATGCATGTTACGTGCCTGAAGATCCTGAGCAATTGACGGATAGTGAACTTGAAATTGATCCTGACAAGTGAGGAGAAAGAACCTGTGTCGTGAGGTGAAGGTTTCCGAGCAGGGTCTGACTTAGTGAGTTGGAGGCCCCAGACAGAAGCCAGTCTGTGCACTGTGCACCTGCCAACTTTCCTTCAATTCGCAAGTGGCTGAAACTGTCACCAGAGAAAGAATCTGAATGAAACAGCACCCCTCTGTCTTACTATGTGTAGCCCATGTATCTGATGCTGTCTGGCGAAAAAAAGAGTATGACATATCATACTCTTTTTGACCAGATAGCATCAGATCCACTGGCTACACATACAGTGCCTTCAAAGTATTCACACAATCACTCACACCCCTTGACTTTTTCCACATTTTGTTGTTACAGCCTGAATTTAAAATGAGATTTCGTGTCACTGACCTACACAAAATACCCCAAAATGTCAAAGTGGAATTATGTTTGTAGAAATGTTTATTAATTAAATGAAAACTGGAATAAATCAATAAGTATTCAACCCCTTTGTTATGGCAAACCTAAACAAGTCACATATGTTGCAAGAACTCACTGTGTGCAATAGTGTTTAACATGATTTTGAATGACTACCTCATCTCTGTACCCCACACATACAATTATCTGTAAGGTCCCTCAGTCGAGCAGAGAATTTCAAACAAAGATTCAACCACAAAGACCAGGAAGGTTTTCCAATGCCTTGCAAAGAAGGGAACCTACTGGTAGATGGGTTAAAATAAAAAGCAGACATTGAATATCCCTTTGAGCATGGTGAAGTTAATTACACTTTGGATGGTGTATCAATAAACCTAGTCACTACAAAGATACAGGCATCCTTCCTAACTCAGTTGCCATAGAGGAAGGAAACTGCTCAGGGATTTCACCATGGTGGTGACTTTAAAACAGAGTTTAATGGCTGTGATAGGAGAAAACTGAGGATGGCTCAACATTGTAGTTAGTCCACAATACTAAACTAAATGCAGAGTGAAAAGAAGGAAGACTGTACAGAATAAAAAATATTCCTAAACATGCATTATGTTTGCAATAAGACACTAAAGTCAAATTAACTGTCCTGAATACAAAGTGTTATGTTTGGGGCAAATCCAACACAACACATCACTGAGTACCACTCTTCATATTTTCAAGCATGCCTCATGTTATGGGTATTCTTGTCATTGGCAAGGGAGGTTTTTAGGATTTAAAAAAAAAACCAGAATAGAGCTTAGCACAGGCAAAATCCTAGAGGAAAACCTGGTTCAGTCTGCTTTCCAACAGACACTGGGAGACAAATTCACCTTTCAGCAGGACAATAACCTAAAGCACAAGGCCAAATATACACTGGAGTTGCTTACCAAGACGACATTGGATGTTCCTGAGTGGCCTAGTTAAAGTTTCAACTTAAATTGGCTTGAAAATCTATGGCAAGACTTGAAAATGGCTGTCTAACAATGATCAACAACCAACTTGACAGAGCTTGAAGAATTTTAAAAATAAGAATGTGCAAATATTGTACAAGCATTAATACCACTGGCAGCTGTTCAGTATGGCTTATATCTGGCATGCAGTCCATGATGACAGCAAAGTGTTTTGCCTTCTTAATCTTCTCAACATTTGCCTCTTTTTGTGCAACCAGAGCTGTCCGTTTATTTTTGGAT